CACCCCTTTTTTCTTTTCTTTTTTTTTTCTCTTAAATTTTATCAGGGTCGGGGAGGCGGTTGCAAGAATATAAGGTGGATATGCAGGGACTCAAAATGGATGGGATAGAAATGCATGATGTGAAAAACCCAAAGAATAAATAAAAAGAAAGTAAAAAAGAAGATTCTCAGTTGTGTCCTGTGTGTGTGTGTGTGTGTGTGTGTGTGTGGCTTTTCTTTGATGTTTGTTTTGGTTTATACAAGTATGTGTGTGTGGTGTGTGTGTGTGTGTGTGTGTGTGTGTGTGTGTGTGTGTGTGATGCATGTAGAGAGCAGAGGTCAACTTCAGGTGATATTCTTCAGGACCTCTTTCTCCTTGTTTCTGGAGACAGGGTTTCTTTTTGGCTAGAGCTCACTGATTTAGTTAGGCTGGCTGGCCAGCAAATCTAGGGACACATTTGTCTCTGGCACTTGAGCTCTGGGATTACAAGGGCACACCAAAATGCCATTACTGTTAAATGGGTTCTGGAGGTAGACTCAGGTCTTCTTGCTTGAATGACAATCACTTTACTAAACAAGCTATCTTTCCAGCCTCAACAGCTTTATTTTAAACATGCTTTCCTGATATAAATACATGAAGTATTTATTTCAGAGCTTATCACATAATTAAGAGAATTCCTACTAGGATGGCTTAAAAGTCTAGTTTGTAATGCTAGTTTTTGGTTAAAGCATGGAACAAACTAATCTAGTTATCGTCTATAGAATAACATGTGTGTCTTTGCCATCCTGCAAATTTGTCTTGCGTGGGGAAGAACATGGGAATTTGGGCAAACAACATTACATACTGGTATGAGTGTCCAAGTTCCAGAAATTACACTGCTACAAGTTTCTCACAACAAAATCTTGAAGAATTTTCCTTGCTCAGGGGAGGTGGAAAGTGCCCTGTTCAGACAGCCCATGCAATGGTTTTGTGATGCTTGGTTTGCTGCACCCATGACAGTGCTAGCAGAACAGTCGGGCAAAGATTGCTAAAGGACACAGCTCTAGAGACCTGAAACTCTTGAGTCATGGTGCCTTGGGACCAACTGTTTACTTGAACATCCTAGAAGAATGAGGGTGTGGTGTTCATGATGTATATTATAGTCAGGGAGGGAAATTTGTCAAATATAAGTGAAGGATTCTATCCTCCTTAGATGAGGGGCACAGAGCATTTATGGGACGTTTCCCTGATAGTTAGATAGGTGGTCCATGATGAATAGGCTGTAGTACACAAAGTATAGATAAAGGTTCCATGATGTCTTGATGGGGTATTATGATGTGCATATGAAATGTTCCCTGATCTACAGATGGGGGCTCATGGTCTATACACAGGGAATTCTGCATTTCATGGATATAATTTTCCTGAAGTTTCATGATCTATAGATGAAAGGCTTTGAAATATAGGTGGGGATCCCATGATGTGTAGACAGGGGTCTAGTATTTGTGCATAGATTTTCTATGATCTGTATATATGGAGTGTCTATGATCTATGAATGAGACACTCAGGATCTAGAAACAAAGGTTTGCATTACATGTAGACAAGGGTTCCACAGTCAATAGCTAGGACTTCTGTGATGTATAGACAGAGGCCCCATAATGTATTGTCAGTGGTTCTGAGATAACACAGTTCCTAGAAGGAAAGGGTTTAGGCTGAGTAGGAAGACAGAACAGCATTTATGATAAACTTTAAATTTATATTTTCCCCTGAACTCAGACCCTATCTTGGACAGGCTTCAAATTTCATCAGCCTTGATTCCCATTGTTATGTTTGGCCCCCACCCAGCTATGGGGTGCACTTTTCAAGGGGGCTGAGGCACGAGGATAATGAGCTCCTGGCATGGCTGTACTGCTGTGGTGTGATAAATGGCCCGCAACCCTTGAGCTGCTCCATGCCCTTCATCATCCAGTCGGAGTGGTTAGCAGACTGTCAGAGAAAAATAATTTAGCATCCATGGCTTTAACGGATGTGCTGCATTCTGGGGTCAAATGACTATTACAAAGTAGTAGCGCTGCCTGGCTTCTCCATCGTGAGAGCTCAGAGTTGACAACATGAAAGAAGGAGGCATCACACCCAGAACTCACTGACGTCCTTCAATTTCACACAGTAGGAAGCAGAAGAGAGAGATGGGGTGGGTGTCTTAGTAAATAGATAATCCCAGGCCTGTCTGGGAGCCTTGGGGTAGCTCTAGCCTTCCTGCAAAGTGGCATCAAGCTGCGGTAGAGTGAAATAGCTGTAAGGGCATGCCCACAATCACAGATGGGGCCTTCTCAAGTAAGGAGGCAAGAGAGATGAGCTGATCAAGCTAGTGCAAAAGGTCATGGGCAGTCTCATAAGGGGCTCATTCTTCTGCCCAGCCTGAGTTGGGGCAGAGAGGAGGGTGCTGCCATGGCTGTTCTGCAAATTTGATTTCTGGGTAGCAGACAGGCAGAGTGGGAAGAAGTCAGAAAAATTAAAGGACACAATCATAGAAAAGAGAGGAAGCGAGGCATAGAGTTTCTTACTAGTAAGTGCACAGGGGTGGATGTAGGAAAAGTGTTCCTGTTTCTTTCTCCAGCACACTGTTTTCACTGGGGTTATGCATTTATTTGAGCATAAGCTGAAAGGCAAGGCTGATGAAGTGTATGGTCTACCCACTCCCACCTGCTCCTTAAAGTGATTATTGCATTGCAATAAATGCTTTAGGTGAAGTAAATGAATAGGAGGAGGTAGAAAGAGCAGGAAAAACCACCACCCCTCAACCAGGACTCATATAGTTTATCTTCTCCCTCACCCAAGATTTGTGAAAATCAGGACACCTTATGGCTGGGAAGATGGCTCCAGTCAATAAAGAGCACTTTCTGCAAGCATGAGGACCAAAGCTTGGATCATCAGTATGCCCATAAAAACAGGGCACGGTAGCATGTGCCTATAATCCAAGCCTTAGAGGGGTACAGACAGACAGATCACTGGGACATCCTGGGCAGCTAGTCTTACCAAATTGCTGAGCTTTAGGTTCAATGAGAGTCTCTGTATCAAACAATAAGGTCAAGGGACTGGAGAGATGGCTCAGCAGCTAAGAGTGCATATGCTATTGCAGAGACCTCCATCAGTTCCAGAACCCACATCATGTGGCTCAGAATTACTTGTCCCTCCAGGTCTAAGTCCTTCTTCTGCAGTCATGTGCATAGAATCTACATATACACATAATTAAAAAGAAACCTAAAAATCTGAGGTGGCAAGTGATAGAGGAACAACACACCACATTGATCTCTGACATGCCTCTGTAGGCATGCACACACTCGTGTGTGCACACCGACACATGTACACATCCAAACACATACACATGCATATACTGTAAACACACACATATGCACATATACAAAGAACATCTGCTGTGGCATCCCATGCTTGCTTAGAGTCAAATAAATATGGAGTGAGTGAGTGAATAAATGAATGCTCTATCCAGTTATTATTCAAGGTAAAAGATCCCTTTATGCTCTTTGTGGCTTTACACACATCCCTGAGTAGTATCTGGGGTTTTGATGGCACCCTGAATTCTTTATGGATTCTTGATCTCCCAAGGCAAAATAAAGGATTCTATTCCAGGTGCTGTGATGTCATGATGGTGGCGATCACAGCAATAACTCATAGTTATTAAGTACTTATGATGAATCCCACACGAGGCTAAGTGCCTTTTAACTATGTAAAGTGTTTCTTTCCTTGATTGATGTGCAGAATGAATAAAAATAATTTTCTGTATCGACTACATTAGAGAGACCTACAAATAAGTCTCAAAGTGATAAGAGAAAAGATAATTTGCATAAATAAGCAATTATAGAACTTGGCAGAATAAGGTTGTCTTAAGTGGTGTGAGAATGGTTCTTGTCACATAGGCAGTGCTACAAAGGCGCCTTAAACAACTGAAGGCAAATTTCTGTAAGAAACCAGACCCACAGGGCTGGGGGATACAGCTCAGGGGACCACTTGTCTAATGTGTAAGTGGCTATGGGTTTGAACCCCAGTATCATCAAGAAAGAAAAAAAATGTAAACAGACCCACCACTGTGTTGGGAGAGATTCTTTCTTCCTTTCATTTCCCCCTCTCCCCTCTCTCTGTCTTTCTCTCTCCTTCCTGCCTGCCTTTTTTCATACATGTCAGGCTGACCTTGAACTTTCTAGGTAGCTGAAGATAACCTTGAACTCTTTATCCTCTGCTTCTACCTCACCAGTGCAGGGATTACAGATGTGCACCACCATTCCTGGTTCATGCAGTGCTGGGGATTGAACCCACGACTTCATGCATTCTGGGCAAGCCCTAGACCAAGTGAATCATATCCACAGTCCCTTAATTCTCATTTCTAACTTCTCTGCCTTCCAGAAAATTTTTCTTCTTACGACTCTTGGTCTGTGCTAGTGTCTTACTGGGGAAATTTCTACCTGATTGGAAACCATAATTATAGAGGTCCTGGCCACTCCCAATGAGACAATATCCGTCTTGGTTTGTCTAGAGTACCTAACTAGAAACTTAGCCCAGGCCACAAACCAACACACTTCTTTCTTCTTGGTTCTTTCCTTTCTAAGTTACTGGAAGGCCTGGCAAATGAATCTTGCAGTCCTGCAGTCTGGGCCTCTTGATGGGGACCGAAGATCCTGCCCTCTGCTGGCTCCACTTGTTTGCCGTGACCCTGGTTATCTTTCCTCCCTAGTGGTTGATTCCATCATTGTGAAAGTTGCCTAACTTTATGAATTCTGTTATTATTTCTGCTCAGTTGCTGTGTCGATGATCTCTTTGCTTTCTTAATATTTCCAAGATTCTCTATCCACGAAACCTGGCAATTTCTCTCTGTGCGCTTAGGAAAGGGGCCTTTTCAAGAAGGCCAGTGTTTCACCATACTCTGTTCATAGACACTGGAGGGGGGGCAGGCCCACTCCTCCATCACAGCAAGACTATCCCAACGCACACCCATCTTTCCACCTGACAGGCAGCTACCTGAGAAGTCTCACCTGTGGCAAGAGGTTGCTTTTACTCCTGCTGGGCGTGTGGCCAGGCAGCCGGATGTCGAAGAGGGCCTGCAAGGCAGCTTGTGCTGCCTGGCCCTTGGCCAGCTTCTTGCTGCGTCCAGAGCCTTCGAACGTCCTCCCGTCCACGCACACAGCCATGACAAAACTCTTGACTCGGGGCTTCTCGGCTGTTTCCGAGAGGCACACATACCGCAGACCTGAGCGCAATTCATTCAGCACCACTACAGGGTTCCTCTCACCCAGGGCCCCAGGGGTCAGCCTGGACCTGTCAGGCAGAGTCTGGCCCATGAGGTCCAGTGTGTGGCAGAGCAGGCGTCCCCGCCGATAGGCGGAGGACAGAAATTCAGTGTCGACGGGATGACAGCCCGGGAAGTCCTCATTTCTTGAGGATGGTTCAAACTCCTTGAACAAAGTGTCTGGGAAGTCAGCCTGGTCAGAGGTGAAGTCAGTGCATGAACTGGTACTGCTGCCCATGGCCAGGTGGGCCTGGAATGCATTGGGGAACTGCACGAAAGACTTCAGGGCCATCTCTGCTGCCCGCATCTTGGCTTTCTTCTTAGTGGGTCCTGTGCCTTCAAACGTGAGTCCGTTCACTTCTACAGCCACTGCGAAGACTGGGGCGTGCACTGGGCCAGTCTGTGACACCATCCGGTACTGAAGACCCGGCTTCAGTTCATGCAGCTGGACCAGGGCATTCTTGGGTGTCATAGACCAGGAGAGCTTCTTCCAGATCAGCTGGAGTTTGCAGAAATGCCCCGCATTTCCTTCCTCCAGGGGCCTTTTCCTTTTAATGCTGGGCGTGCTGCCTCTGGCCCAGTCTCCAGGGGGCAGAGGCCTAGTTCCCAGGTTGCTCACATTTCGGTTTTCCTTCACTTCAGCACTGCTGGTACCTGGAGGTGAGAACAAATTAGTCATGACCCAGGGCACTGGCAGGTCACCACTAATGATAGAAATTGTTGCTAATGACGGCTCTGTAAGGCTGGGAATCCAAGCTCATGGGTCCCTTGCCATCAGCACCTCAGCCAGGTCTGGGAAAGATGCTGTAAGGGCTTTTGCAAGACACAAAGGAGGAGCAGCAGTGGGGACCAGTTGCCTATGAGGGGAAGGCCTCCATCATTGGGCAGTTCTCTGAAAGTCAGGCTTGAAAAGATAGGAGGAAGAGACAGGCAAGGGCTGTGTCCTATGTGTGGCCTCACACTGTTGTCTGTATGAGTTATGATGCTGTCACCTATGAGTGCCTATGTCCTCAGCACCCACGTTATCTCTTAAACTCAAACAGATGAGTAGCCCTGCCTATGTATGGTTTGGGGCAATAGCAGAAGTTAGAAAGGCTTTTCTTACAATGATGAGTATCTTCCTTCCTCACATGCTGCTAGGGCTGTCAGGCATGCTGATGGATGCTTGTGATGCCCTTAGCACGGAAGAGCACCAGGTAAGGCTTTATTGGGGCCATGCTCTTTTATCTCAAGCCCCACAGAGTTTCTCAAAACCCTGCCTCCCAATTCACATCTAAAAGTGCAAAATGTATCACCTGAGACCTCCATGGAGAGACAGCTAGGACCCATTCAAATGGATAATACCATGCATTATACAGTTTCTGGGCCTTAGTCATGCTGGGTGTTTATAGAGCTGAGAGTGTGAGGAGCCCACAGGGTCCTGACCATCCAGCCCCATCCTAGATGAGACACCAAGGGGAGCCATTGAAGCCACAGGCTCTGAAATTTGGATTTGACTCTTCATCTGAATGTGGTTCCTGGGCTTCTTTGTCACAATCACCTGGGACTTCTTAACAAAGGGCACTTACTGGAAGTCCTTTGTCTTTATAAATGCAAATACTGCATGTTGACATATTAAGGTAGGAAACGGTTCTGCATGAACCATGTGGCTCAGCTGTGAGTCTGGGGCTCTATTTCCTCTACAAGATACCAGGAATCCTTGGATTACTTTTCTGACATCCTTCCCGTCGTTGCCAGGCAAACATGTAAAACAGACCAAAATGCTAATGTGTTTCTAGGACCTGATCAGTGGGTACAATTCCATTGCAAAAAATATTAGGGACACCCACTGGCAAGCAAGAAACACTACCTAATATGTTGTTAAGGACTAATCCTAGAACTGAGATTAATAAAGATGTTCACTGTAGCATAATTTTTTAAAATTGAAAAAGTAGAAAATATCTAACTTCCTACATCTAGAGGAATGGGTAAGTTGCAGTAGAATCAAACAATAAAATGATATACAACAATTATATCCTAATGAACTCTAATGTGCTTCAACATAAATCTCATCCACATGTTAGATGACAAAATGAACTCGCAAAATAACCCATTGAGTAGGATAGAATGTCATAAGAATACTCACATGACATATTAGTCATGTATCATACTTACAAAAGAACTTAAGACAGTTATATCATAAAGACATATTCTCATCTCCCAGAGGAATGGAGGGAAGGAAGGAAAAGAAATAAGAGAACCAAGAATGGCTTTATTTGTGCTTGTAACATTTTCTTTCTTTTTAAAAAAATTACAGTATGTATGTATGTATGTATGTATGTATGTATGTATGTATACACCATGGCATGTGTGTGGAGGTCACAAGACAACTTTCAGGAGTCAGTTATCCTTTTCTACCATGTGGGTTCCAAGAATTGAACATGGGTCATCAGATTGGGTGGCAAAACACCTTTACTATCTGAACCATCCTGTTCATCTAACATTTTATATTTTTGCAAAAACCTGACATAAAGTTCAGCAAAACCATGACTTACTATAACTATAGATAAAACTACACACACACACACACACACACACACACACACACACACACAAAATCCTAAGGCTGATCTGGCTGGGCAGAACCATGCTCAGGTTTCTCTGTGCACCTTGTACTTGCTCTCAGGGGCTGGGAGCTCTCAGCTCTGTGGCAGGTGTGAATGTGTCTTTTTTTCCTCATTAAGCAAGTGGAAACTCCAGGTGAATTTTCCAGTGAGCCCACAACCTCAAAACAGATACCAAATCATTGAATGTCTGGCTGGCTGTTGACACATGGCCCTGCTTCTCTTGTGCAGCCTGAAAGCTACTTATATACAACTGTAACTTATAACTGAGTGAAGATAAATTTAAAGATAATTTAAGACTAGTCACCTTGGATGGCTATTCTCTATTAAAGTTGCCCTGTTTAGAAAAATCCCAGTTGTGAACGGCTACATGACCATGTGAACTGCCATGGTCTCTGCTGCACTTTGCTAGAGTGTGTGCTTCTGGAATGGTAAACTTTCCAGTTTATTTAAAAGCCCAAGGATTGATTACACCTGTGAATAGTCTGCTGCCTTCTCCAGATTCCTGCCAGCCTCTACGTATTCAATTGAGAACCTAACTTTGCTATATT